ATTGCATGTCGAAAAACGGAGTAGCCCATGTTATTTAACGTAAAAAGTTATGTAAGACCCATAATTTTTTTCTATTTATTTGCGACCGTTTTGTCAATAACAGAAAAAAAACAGTTTTGTTTGAGCCCTTTTAAGGGCATATAACTTCCTAAGGGTGCGTTTTAGGGCACATGTTAATAGGAACTTTTTGGCTTATTTTAATGAGTTATAAACGCAGCAGAAGTTTGGAACCCTATTTTAGAAACACCCTGTATAAATGTGGAGTTTTAGGATAGCCATTGTCCAGCTACAGCGCATCAAAAATTTAAAAAAAAATGTTTTTAATTTTTAATTTCTAGACCGCTTCAGATAATTTAACCAAATTGGGTGTGCCTATTTAGTAAGACAGTAGGTATGAAACAAAAACTTACCAGCTTTAGAAACTTACCAGTGGCGGAGGTGATCATTATTATAATAGGTCATCATATGCGCTATTGTATTATTTTCACTTTTTGGTTCTTTACACTTTTTTGTATTCCAAACCGATTAACAACAAAATTGATTTATTTGATCAAGTGCATTTTCACTAGGTATACGCATTACATTACTTAAAATAATAAAATAATTAATTAACAATGATTTATAATAACAAATATTGGAAATGGCCATCTTCAGCCAGAATATATGCTTCCCACATTCTTAAAATTGCAGTTCGAATACGTGCAAAAATTCCAGGAGTAAGCTCTTATAACATCACAACCAGCTATAATTTGTTGATGTAAGGCATTACTTTCTAGAGATTTTCCATATGACCTTTTGTCAGTGATATCTTCATAATGTTGTGCAAAATCCGCAATTTGAATCACACTTTCTGTTCATGGCCGAAGCTAATTTTTCAAGAAATGCCATTGAAAATGTTCACAACAATCATTTGTGGGCGGATGAAAATCCACATGCCATAACGGAAACCCATTTCCAACACCAATTTTTGGTCAACGTATGGGCAGCAATCATTGGTGACCACTTTATTGGACCATTCTTCCTGACGCATGATGACAGGACGACTTGACGGACAATCTTACCACAATTTCCTTCAAGAACAATTGCCTTTGCTGCTTGAGGATGTTTCGATAGCAATAAGAAATGTGGTATATGCACGATGGTGCACGATCAGCACATTTCAGTGTAATGGTTCGCAATTATTTACAATCTGTTTATCCAAATCGTTGGACTGGCCACGATGGGCCTCAAGAATAGCCACCAACCTCAATAGCTTAGATTTCTTGTTATGGGACCATCTTAAGACGCTAGTGTACACAAGTCCGATTAATACTGTAAGCGAATTAAGAAAAAGAATAATTGCAGCATGCGATAAAATAAAAAAGAGTTCGAGAATATTTCAACGAGTGCGCAATTGCATGAGAAAGAAGGCGGGAGCATGCATATTAAGTGAAGGATTTTCAATAATTTTTGTAATACTAGTTTAATATTAGTAATGTTATGTTAATGTTGTGTGTTGCTGTTCATTACACGCAGGTGCCAACCTGTAATGTATTTAATTTTTGCTATTAAATTATTAATAATTCTATAAGTTTACTCAAAAACGACGCAAACAGGGCAAAAACTCAAGAGAGCTCTTATCTTTCGAATTGAACGGGAATTTCAAAAATAATTTTATTTGGGAAAAAACCCATTGGCGTACCATTTTTTTCTTTAAAAATATCAGTCAGTGTTCGTACGCACGCCACTCCACTGTTAGAGCTAAAAAATATGTTTGTATTGAAAAACATGCGCCTTTATTACCCATCAATATGTACTAAATATCACTGAAATATCTAAAGTGGTTTCGAAAATATTAATTAATTTCCTTCTTTTTCTTAATATTGTAACGCCTTGTATTTGCGCAACGGAACATTTTTGGACCATAGTTTATAAAGTAAACTATCATTAACTTTGCATGTAGAATCACATCCTTAAATATTCGCATATCATTAAGTAAGGAACACCCTGTATGTTGCTAAGTGCAAACAAATCAACGGTCAATAACGATTAGTAAACATAGTAAATCTATAATACACTGTAATAACCGGATTTAATACATTTTTTTTCTTAACGCACCTGCTAAATACAAAATATATGCTAAGCTAAATATTTTACCTAAATCTTTTTACAAACATTATAAGAACAAAATGGGAAACGACCTTGGTGTAGATATGAACTTGAACTTTGACGTCCAATTATTTATTAACATTTATTCATTCCTTAATTGGATTATCTTCATCAATTTTTACTGTTTTTCAGAGTTCATGAAATTTTTAAAATCGACTTTAAAAACTAATAAATTTAAGTTATACATAGGACCTCCGAAAAATACACATCGGTAATTAATTGACCGATTTTTACATTTTTGTTGATAAAATAGTATACTCAAGGGCATAATTAAAGGCAACAAATTTGGTATCACTATCAATCAGTGAAGGAGATACTGGGCGACACTGTCGATGAAAATGCAAAATTTCTACGTCACTGAGTTTGTTTTTTTTTGCAGTTCGATTTTTCATTTTGCTCAAGAACGAGTCATTATCCAGTTATTACTTTTTGTGTAGATGTATAAATCGAAACTAGCTTCAAAATTATTCGTTTCACAAAAAAATGTATAGAAATTGTTTATTATAAGTATAGTATAAGTGTACAGTAACAGTACGTCAGCGTTGACAATATTTTCAATTTCAAACTTTTTAAAACCAATGCAAAATGCAAACATTAATTTAATACCAAATACTTTGCGAATATTGTAACAGTAGGTATTTCTAAGTACAACATGGCGATGTGGCAACGCTTTTAAACACAATATATTTTATCTCTATTCCAGTAGCCCACGTCGCCGTAAGTCCAACGACAGGGACGTACTAATTTGTATTATTTAGTTTTTGCGCCAGCGAAAAATTAATAAATTCTGAATGTTTTCAATTATTGAAAATAAATTGAATTACAACAAATGTTTTATACAGAAATAAGTTTGATTTTCACTTTAATTAGTTGAACACTGATGAAATACACACCTATTAATTTTTTCTAAATTCAGTTGAAATATATTCAAAACTAATGTCTGCCTAAACTGATAACTATCAATACGTTTATAAGTACGTTTTCAGTAACATAAAATATTCAGAATATATTAACCTTGTACAACTGGTATAAAATATGTCCACTTTAATTTTCACTAGCTACCACTAATATCTATTGTTTTTTATAACAGAATGTGTAACTCTGGCGATACTCTTGAGTATGTAGCAGCATTAGATATTGGAACTACAACCATCAGGTGTCAAATAATCAATTCACTCACTAATACAATTGGAGCTGCGTATTCGTATGTAAGTAAAATATGTAAATTATTAATACTTGCGCCTTACTAATAAATAATTATTACTTCATGTTTTCTAATCGGTGAATGTATTTCAAGTTATCAAGTTACATGCTTTTAAGTCGTAAGAATAGTAAGAACTTAAAGCAATTATATAAACGATTTGAATTTTTTCAGACAATATTTTCTTTCAAATTAATATGATATTTTTATACAAGGTATCTGTAAAATACATAGTCAGCATAGAACCACAAATTCTCTGGACCAAAGTTAAGTCAATATGTCAATAATATACTTAGTCCAACTTACTGAAGTCAACGTCTACTGAAATGTGAAAGAATATTTTTTATACTATAACTTTAAAATGGTTTAAGTTAGACAGTTCTTAGTTGGTTATGGGTCTTTATTTATTTGTGTCTAATAATATGTAAGAAAATGAAATGGGTGTTATTTTTTTTGGTCCTCTACCCCCTTGATCACCTCATCACTAAATTACATTTTTTAATATAAAATTGAGATATTTTTAATTCGTGAAATTTTGAGATGGAATATTTTCAGCAAAATGTGCTGAAATATAGGTATGCTGGAATTCCGTTATTTCTACAGGGTGTCCAGAAAGGTTATGCCAAAAATGAAGGGGTATACAGGGGAGGTCAAAATAAATGTAGTAAGTACTTCATAAAAAAAATTTCCTATTGGGCTTCGTTGTGGAGTTATTCGCCTTCAAAGAAAGAAGTTTGAAAAACAAATTCCAATTATAATGAAGTACTACAACTATTTTGACCTCCCCTGTATATCCCTTAATTTTTGACATGACCTTTCCGGGCACCCTATAAAAAGGAAGGATTATGTACATAAAAATAAGGACTCAGTTTCTAAAATGCTTCCGAAGAGTACCTACTATAGCTGTTTAAACATTTTTCCCAAAGGTATCCATTATTTTATATCTTTGGAATCGCAACAAGGGGAAAGGGAGCCCAAAGAAATAACACCCTCTCTGGTATTTTTCTTAAATATTCTAGTGATATATTAGACGAAAATAAATAAAGATGCTTCCCAACTAACAAGTCTCTAACTCAAACTATTTTAAGTCATATGAAGAAATATTGTCTCATAGTACTTATATAAAAAATGTTTAAGTATTAATACCTAGCTTTACTTATAAAAAAACAAAAAATAAAAGCAAAAGCTTGTCAAACCTTAATTTTATTCAAATTTTAATTTTAGAACTGGATGCCTATGACTAAAATCAAATTTAGTTATATTAGAATATCTTTCTAGGCAACTATTTCATTTAATAAGTATGTGAAAACATTTCAATTTCAAAAGGGTGGCTACATCAAAAGTGAAACACAGTATATAGGTAAATAGTCTATACTTATTGGATTATTTTAATTCAAGGAATCTAGTTTTACGTTGTTCATGTGAAGAACACATTGTACAACACTTTGTATACATTTATTACTGAAAACTTCTAAATTTTTGAGGAGAAAATTTATAGACCAGTAAAGAGAACCTTTATGATGAAAATGATAAACTTAAAAATTTCGGAGTAAATTTGTGAAATAAATTAAAATAGGGAGTGCTCACCCTGGGATCTGGAAAAGGATTGCATGTATATGTGCAATATATATATTTTTTATAATCAACTAATACATAGAATTAGTGGTTTTTATATTTTCTCTAAAATTTTGATTTTTTATGAAAGTTACAACATTGTAAATTTAAAATATGGGATGTTAAAATTAAGTTAAAAGTTAAATACATATGAAGGAAATTTAATTTTGTCATAAATAAAAAATTGTTTGTCATAGATTACAAAAAAAAAATATATTTTGCATATACAGGGTGTTTTAAAAGTCCGTCAGGAAGCTCCGGGAGGTGGTTCTAGGGACTAAAATAATGTAATGAAATTTTTATTCGAATTGTCAATTGTTTACAAGTTACAGCTTGTCAATTTTTTTAGTTTTCCTTTTAAATAACTTCAACTTAATTCAAGTTCGATTAGTCTCTCATTTGGTACACAAACTATAAGTAGATCAAACTCTATTAGACCAGTCAGAGAAAATTTATTATGCGCCGCTAGAGGGCATGCACTTTACCTAGAACTCAAAATTTGTTTTGTTCATAACTTTTTCCCTTGCTAGACATCACAGAAATTGAAACATTATTGAAAAGAGAAACAATATCAGAAAAAAATATGTACTCTTTATTAAAGCCGATAAATGTAACCATTTAGCAGGAAATCACTATTAAAGTATTATTAAACATTACATTTTTGATAATTCTTTCTGTAATTAATCAAGTTGACATGCTTCAACTAAATGTCATTAGAAATTATGGTGTTACGAATTGTAACGAAAATTGTTTAAAACAAGTACATATAAGTTTCATTTTTAGTATATTATTTTTTTTCGGCTCTGTAATAGCATTGTGTGAAAATAAGATCAGGATAATAAATTTACTAATAATATTTGATTTACTAAAGCTAGTTTTACAATTCGTAACACCATAATTACTAATGACAGTTATTTGAAGCATGGCACCTTGATTGATTACAGAAGTAATTATCAAAAATTTGATATTCAGTAAAACTTTAATAGCGATTTTCTCCTAAACAGTTATATTATTTATCGGTTTGAATAAAGAGTACATATTTTCTTCTGATAATGTTTCTCTTTTCAATAGTGTTTAAATTTCTGTGATGTCTAGCAAGAGAAAAAAGTTATGAACAAAACAAATTTTGAATTCTAGGTAAAGTGCCCTCTAGAGGCGCGTGTCAAATGAGAGACTAATTGAATTTGAATTAAATAAGTTATTTCAAAAGAAAACCCTGTATACATACAACCCTTTTCGAGATCCCAGCATGGGTAGCCCCTATTTTAATTTCTTACTCTGCAAATTTTGTTTGAAATTTTTTAATCAAGAAAATTTTCTTTAAACGGCCTAGAAATCACCTTAAAAAACAATATGAGTCCCATGCTTCTTTGTAAAAAGATAACCATCATATAAAGTTACGCAACAAGTAAAAATACATTAATTCCTATAATGTAGATACTTGAAATTACATTTTTTAAGAAATTTAAAAATGTTTCAATATGTTTTTACGAAAATACTTTTATATAATTTAAAAATGACTTTTTTAAGGTCAATCTGCATTATCCTAAACCAGGCTATGTCGAAATTCCTCCAGATCACTTGTTGGATGAAATTGTGAAAGTTGTGAAGCTTGCAATAAAAGGTAAAAATAGAAATACTTTTTTAAATGACGCAAGTAAAAAAATTAAAACTGCATGACCAAAAACTTATATTGTGCTATGTCTTAGATGCAAAAATTGATGCTGCTCAAATTAAATCATTAGGAATCTCCACTCAAAGAGCTACTTTTATAACATGGAAGAAGGATACAGGAGAACATTTACATAATTTTATAACATGGAAAGATTTAAGAGCTCTAAAATTAATCAAACAAGTTAATTCATCATGGTTAGTTAATGTAAGTGGAAAATTATTTTCAATAAAAAAAAAATCAATAAAAATATGAAACTTTTTAAACATGTCTAGATGTTCCAAATTGTTGAAAAGTATAAAGAATTATTGTGAAATAGACACAACTAGCTATTTAAAAATATATTTTTCTGAATTAAAAATCTCCTACATTGTTTTTAGTTTTAAGGTTGTACGATGGGCAGCATATTTCGTGTATTTAGTATCAAGAAATAAGAAATTTGGAGTCGGTAGTAAATTAAAATTTTCCAGCAATCAAGTAAGTACAAACTAGTCAAATTACTTCAAAATTTTTGAAATTTAACTGGTTTTAGGTTTCGATTAGACTTCTATGGGTTTTAGAAAACATAAAGGTGGTAAAAGAAGCTGTGACAAAAAATAACTTAATGTTTGGAACTTTAGAAACATGGTTAATTTATAAACTTACAGGTGGCGAAACGTACGTAACAGATATTACTAATGCAAGTGCCACTGGATTGTATGATCCATTTGATTTAAATTGGGGGATTATGATAAAATTATTGAATATACCAATAAATATATTGCCTAAAGTGGTAAATAATGACTATGATTTTGGAATGACTGAAAGCATTTTTTTTGGAGTTCCTCTTAAAATAGGTTGTGTGGTAAGTCAATGGTTGTCTACAATGAATCAAATATAAACTGCGATTTTTTTCTTCCTATTTATTACAGAAAAAAATATTTTCCTTAGGGAGTTTAATTGTCCAGTCTTATTAGAAAATATTTTTATTAAATTTATAGATACTTCCATAAAAAATTTATTTGCAAATCTTTGTAAATATTTTTCTAATATTTGGATAACTGTTTAACATGTTTGCAGTGAGAGTAGTTTATCAATTCTTTGCTATGATATTGATAAGCAATCTTAATGTTTTCAAGGAAATGATGATAATAGGCAATATGAGTTGGTCACTGAATGTTGTCAAATCTCACAAGTCAGGTACAATTACAGCATGATCTGTGCAGTCGATTATGTACCTACCTGGCAGAGAGTCTACAGGGTGGTCCGAATTTTATGCAGGAAACTCTTAGATCTCTTTAAAATAATATGTATTTGCCTTATAAACATAGGTCTGGAGCGGCCCGGTTTTAGAGATACAGGGTGTTGTAGTTGTTAAAAAAAATAATTTTTTGTTTATATCAGGAATCTATTAATCGATCTCAATAAAATTTGGTACAAATAATCTATGATATAGTAGCTTTTGCATTCCCTAAAATATGAGCTCTAAAGGTTCAACCAATGGCGTACAACTGGACAGGGATCATCTCATTTATTTATTTATTTATTTATTTATTTATTTAGACAATACACTACCCTACAGAAATTCCAATTACAGGGTAGGTAGAAACAGAAAACTACATCATACACTACATGATATGAGATAAGTAACAATACACAACATTACATACGTAAACAAAACAGTATATAAATGAAAAAAAACAAAAAACAAATATAATTTAATTTGTAAATGTAACTTTTTTAATTATGGCTATATTACAATTAAAAATGTCAAACTGATTTTGAAACAGATTATATTTATCACACATTTGAAAAAGAGGAGAGTATTTTTGAATATTAATTCTTGACATAGGTAAATAAAACAATGAAGAAAAACGAGATGATAATCTAGGTATATGAAAATTTAACAATGAAAGTAAAGAAGGACAGTCAATTGCATTATGTAATAACTTATATAAAAATATCAATTGCGCAATCGTTCTACGTTCCTCTAAACTGCGAAATGAAAATCTATTTAAAAGGTCACATTGAGGTATACCAATAGGTGGATAATTGCCATCCTCTCTAAAAACTGCAGCCTTTAAGAAACGTCTCTGAACTCTTTCTATATTAGTTATGTAAATATTATAGTAGGGTGACCACACAATGCAAGAATACTCTAATTTAGATCTAACAAAAGCTGAATATAATAATTTAAAAGTAGAGGAATCATTGAAATCCTTAGAGCAGCGTAGTACAAAACCTAGCATTTTAAAGCTTTCGTTCGTAATCATATTAATATGATACGAAAAAGACAATTTACTATCAAATAGTACACCTAAATCACGGATGGTATGTGGCCTGGTAAGAATAGTATTATCAATACAGTAATCAAATACAATCGGTTGCTGTTTGAGAGAGAAAGTCATGACATGACACTTTTTAATACTAAGCTGTAAGTTATTAACACTGCACCATAAAACAATTTTATTTAAAGCAGATTGTAAATTTAAACAGTCATTTCCACTACTTATACTAGTATAGAGCTTCATGTCATCAGCATATAATAAACAATTAACATCAGTTCCAACCACAATATCATTAATGAACATATTAAAGAAAAGAGGACCAAGAACCGATCCTTGGGGTACACCAGAAGTAGCTACAAATTCTTTCGACAGCCGACCATGATATTCAACAAATGCATGCCGATTTAATAATTAAGATAAAAAGAAGTGTAGTAAGTCCTTTGAGAAACCGAAACTATTTAATTTAGTTTAAGAATGGCTTAATGAAAATTATATGGGGCGATGGATAAGAAGAATGCCAATGCCAACTATAATGGTGCAGAGTTTGTCAAGTGTCTTGGCCAACCAGATCGCCATATCTAAACCCCCTGGACTTCTATGTTTGGGGTTATCTGAAAAGTAAAGTTTATTCTACTCCAACAGATACAAGACCACAACTACTGCAACGAATAGAAGACGGATGTAATGAATTAAAAGAAAACCACCTCATCATGATATTAGCTTCAATTAGTTCCATTAATGTTAGAAATGTATCGATGTGGGTGGTTCACATTTTGAACAGTTGCTGTAAATATGTAACATTTTGATTTAAATTGTTCTTATTTGTAAAGATAGTGGATTAGGCCTCCAGGGGAATCTAAAACACACCAGGACCACTACCTCACAGGTGGTGTAGAAAGGAGTGTAAATAATTTTGTTGATGTGCTTACAAATTGCACTTACTTTTAGCATAAACCTAAATATTCTTGTAATATTATGGTTATAAATGTCTGCCACAAGGGGATTGTATTGGTATGAGTAATTTGAGAACGGCGAATCTTAAGGAAAAAATTAAAGTCACCTTTTTTACGTATTTTGTGCATTAGAATATAAATCAGTTACAATGATTCATAAAATGCAGTGGTGTAAGTTTTTTTGTAAAAAAAAGGTGACACTTTTCCAGTTGTACACCACTCATATTTTAGGGAATGTAAGGCCTATTATCATACATTATCTGTACCAAATTTTATTGAGATCGGTTAATAGATTCTGGAGATATAAACAAAAAATCATTTTTTTTAACAACTTCAACACCCTAAAAAACGGGGCTGTTCCAGACCTATGTTTATAAGGCAAACACTACTAATTTTTTTTTTTTTTTCTGTAAGAGTTTAAGGAAGGAAATGAAGTCTACATATAATAAAATTTCAGTTTAAATACGATCTTGTATTCTGTCAAATTTTCATACTGCTCTGTTATGCTTTGCTATGACATTTCCATAATTTTTTTTTGCTAATTTGATTTAGTTTGTTAAAGTTTATGTAATATGTATACAGAGTGTTTCATAATGAATTATACAAACTGTAATGGCTGAATGGGGCAACTTAACTTATTGGCTCTATTTTTCTTGCTAGAAAAATACTGAAAAACTGGTTATAATTAAAAAAGTGTGTAATCAGAATTTCATTGATAATTATGTGAAGGAAAGTGTGACAAAAAATCGAGTGCATGATTTTTCCTACTGGTATACTATACAAACTTCCCTATTTTAGAACAAGCCAAATCATATACATAAAACTGTATCACAGCACCAGTGATGTAAAATAAATAACAAAAAAAATAATAATAAAATTTAAGAGAATAAAACATCTATTTCCAAAAAAAAACAGCAAAACTATATATTCTATCTGAGTTTAACCCACTCTCAACGAGAAGAATCCATGATTCTCTCTAATTAATATTAATAATTATTTGTATAAAAGAGTTATATTGAACTTTCAACCCTCTTAGATATCTGTTCTATTAATGTATATCAAAACCATCAAAACTTAGCTCCCTAAACCTATGCCCAAGTAATAATTCTGAAACCACAAGCTCCTTTTCGAAGTTTTTCTTTCACGTGCTCCTGCACTGACTTGTGCCCAAAAGCCCAAAAAAAAAACGTTTGAAAAATCAGGAGAGAGCCCCGCCTATTGAACTCGCACTGACTGACTTATTTTCTCTTCTCGGACCGTCTCGAGTCTAGTTTAAATTTTGCAAATTCTTAAAAGATTTAGTTCCCAAGTTTTTACCAAGCGATCTATCGGCACCACTTCCTGGGTTTCCTTTTGATTTGCAATTCCTTTTGGAGGCGATAAATTTTGTGCAGCATTGACCGCTTCACCCTTCATGCTCGTTTCCCATGAGAACTTCATCCCGAAATTTCTACCTTGCGATTCATATGAAGCAATTTATCTCTCAACAATTTCCAGACTAAACATCCTCTCGCCGAGTCTTACAATTGTACAGTGTAGAGCAAATTTACTTAGAACTATTGCATTACAGCATTACTATTAACATTCATTTTCTATTTACCATACTAGGTTGCCCCACAATGCCACTTCAATATACAGTTTGTTATAAAACAGCTTGTAGTTACATTTTTATTTTCAGATGGCAGATCAGTCGTCATCTATGTTCGGTTGTTGCTGTTTCTCTAATAACGATATCAAGGTGACTATGGGCACAGGGGCATTTCTTGATGTAAATACATCTGCGAAAATTCATCCTAGTTTGAATGGAATGTATCCCTTAGTAGGATGGAAAACAAATGATGAAATAATTTATATGACAGAGTCATCTTGTTTGGATGCAGGCTCTCTAATCCAATGGATGTTAAATACCGGTATTTTATCATCTTTAGGCATTTCAATTTCTTTAGATGTACTTTTTCAAAATTATTCTTATGAATTTAGAGGTTGTTTACAAACTTTGAATTTTCTTTAAGAATATCTGTTATATTAAACCATACAGGGTGTCCCGAAATTAAGGGGCAATATTTCTATGGGGTGTTCTATGTTGAAAAAGATTACTTTTTCTTTATATAAACGTGGGTCCAAAAATTCTTCCTAAGGAAGTTATAGCCACTTAAAGGGGCCAATCTGATGGTGGTTTTTTCTAAATAACTCCAAAACCAGTTGAGATGAATTTATAAAATTTGGTAACTAACTTAACTCTTACGTGCTCAGTCCGCTACTAAAATGAAATTTACAAATTTTCATCACATATGTTCCAACACTGCGGGGGGAGGGGGTAAAATTTACTATAACTTTTTTATGAGTTGACTTTTTTGACTTTTGACCGAAAGGTATGAAATTTCAGAGTTTTTCAGTAAAAAAAGGTACTCTTGGTTCATATTGGTAGAATGTTCCATTTTTGTGTAACATCTGTTTAAAACTAATGTTACATGTGTTAATCACCGAAAATCGAAATTTTCAATATTTCTTATCATCGCAGGTTTTGAATAACAAACATGCGTTTGGCGTCATTTGCATTGACAGTTCAGTTATTTACTCTTGTTATCAGTCGAAAATGCAATATTTTACCAATGTAATGTTTACTAGCAGATATTCATAATACCCATTTCCGGTCAGACGAGAATCCACAGGCAATACGGCGCACAAATTTTCAAAATAGATTTGCAATAAATGTGTGGACAGGAATTTTAGGGGACCAGCTACTTGGACCAATTCAGTTTCCCGTTTGTCGGAATGCAGAAGGATACTTAAACTTTCTGCAAAATGATGTAACTATTGGATGATACACCGTTAAACGTACGCTTAACATTACACTATCAACAAGATGGGGCACCACCTTACTTTAGCCATAATGTCATAAATTGGTTAAACGATAATTTTCCTGGCAGGTGGATAGGTAGAGGTGGTTCCATTCCATGGCCACCTCGGTCTCTAGACCGAAATCCTCTAGATTACTTTGTGTGGGGTAGGATGAAGGCTGTAATTTATGCTACAGAAATAAATCCTTTGGAAGAATTACAACAAAGGATTTATTTAATTATATCAAATCACACAAAGTAATTTTGAATTTTTGAGTTCATCTCAGACAATTCGACGTCAAGCTGAAAAATGTATTCAGCAAAATGGAAATCTGTTTGAGCATTTGCTATAAAAATTACTATTGAGATAAAGATAAGTTTTATTAATAGGTTGGTTTTCAATTATTTTTATTAGTTTATTTTATTTAATAATTTCTAATTTTTTTACTTTGTCAAATAATAATTTACTAAAAATAATAAATTTCTATGAAAATAACAATTCACAAAAAGTAAATAACTGAACTGCCAATGTAAATAACGTCAAACACATTTTTGTTATTGAAAACCTGTGACGATAAAAAATATTGACAATTTCGATTCCCAGTGATTAACACATGTAACATTATTTTTAAACGGATTTTACACAAAAATGGAACATTCTACCATTATGAACCAAGAGTACCTTTTTTAATAAAAAACCATGAAATTTCATATTTTTTCAGTCAAAAGTTAAAAAAGTCAACGTATACAAGTTATGGTAAATTTTACCCCCCTCTCCCCAGTGTTGGAACGTATGTGATGAAAATTTGTAAATTTCGTTTTAGTGGCGGACTGAGCACGTAAGAGTTAAGCTAGTTACCAAATTTTATAAATTTATCTCAACTGGTTTCGGAGTTATTTAGAAAAAACCATCATCAGAGTGGTCCCTTTAAGTGGCTATAACTTCCTTAGGAAGAATTTTTGGACCCATGTTTATATAAAGAAAAAGTAATCTTTTTCGACATAGAACACCCCGTAGAAATATTGCCCCCTAATTTCGGGACACCCTGTATAATGCCAAATGAATTGTGATGTACTTTCGAGGTTCGGTCGCAGACGCCGAACTAGTACAGTCACAGCCCGGGTTCACTCGGTGGAGAAGTGTTTTCCAAGGTTCGGGAATATTTATTACAAGACTTGGTATAAATAAAACTTTTATTTTCCAAAATAAATCGCAGTCTGTACACATATAATATTAACAATAATACCCTACCCATAAAAATAACAAAAACACCGGGATGCCTATTGTCATGAAGGCAATACGTATGTCCTGACGGTGACGATGCCGAGTGTCGCGGAAAGACCTGCTAAACACCCAGAGTCGGCCACGAGGTAGACGTCAGGTACCGCGGAAAGACCTGCTAAGTACCCGTAGTCGGAGTCAAGGTGTGTACCTTACCTTGAGCGCCGCGGAAGAGACCTGCTAAACGCTCTGGTTAGGACACCCAGAGGAGGGTTGAGTGCCGTGGAAAGACCTACTAAGCACTCTGGTTAGGACACCCAGAGGAGGGTTGAGTGCCGTGGAAAGACCTACTAAGCACTGCCTGGTGTAGGTGACTCCGTTGCTTTTATATAATAAAACCTGGAAATCCCGAAAATAAAAAAAAAGGTTCATTACAGAATAAATACTAACCTTACTTAACAACAAAGTGCAAACTTCTGGAATCGAGAGGAAATGACACATGGTATATTAAGTCACCTCCTTTGCCACCGCCTTTGTCAACACATAAGCGGACTTGTTGAATTAAAAAATCACAAATGTTGTCCAGTTAGGTGGTTTGGCAACACAGAAGGTCCTATTACAAAATTGTCCATAGTGTCAGTCCAAAATTTAATAAAAAACCAATGTTGAATGAAAATTAGTATGATGCACGGCATGGGGAATGAATTCAAAAGTTTGTTATATAGCCATTGCAAAAGCCTATGATCTTAAGAGAGCATCGACTCTTTACGCATAAAACAGATATAACTGCCCATTCGTCAACGTCCTTAAGTGTCTTACAACCCGATTAAATAAAAATACTAGATTACTATAACTTTACCCACAGTAAACCAATACTGAAACACAAGAGACTTTTGGGTGTGCAACGATGGCAATTAAGAAAAAAGAACCAGCAAAACATTCTGGCTGTCAATTGATGTTTTAAATATTTTGAACCAAACTGTTTCCTTCGCATATGAACAAATTTTTGGGTACTTCACTAATATTGCTGCCGATGCACTAACGTACACATTTTTCAGTGCGACAGTATGGGTGAAAAGAAAATATGTCATATTTGGTGGTATTAATTAAAGAATGATTAGTCTAAGTAGACTTTGCTTCATCCCAATAGTAACAGTTGCAACAAAGGGAAAGGGCATCATTCATTAAGGCTCAGTCAAACAGGAAGCTGACTGTCCACGCGGACCGAGCCACCCGTCTGCCGCAGATTTTGTGTAGCATAAGATTGCATTATCCTGGTTAAATAGGAAGCAGTCTGCCGCAGCTAACCAATCTAGTTTGCAGCAGACAGAGGAGCACGTGTGATTTTCTACAAAGTCCGCACGGACTGGAATGACTGAGGAGACCGAGAAATTAATAGATCTTGTGCGGGAGTGTGTTTTTTTATATGATGTTCGTCATCCCGACTATCTTTTTTCATTTCATTCACCCATTTTCTTTTTCATCTTGCTTGACTCAAAACGATCAAAAGAAGCAATTCTTCTTCGTTAGAAGACCTGCTAAATATGTTGAATTGAGAACAACAAAAGAAAACATGAATTCGACAAAGAATGAATTGGAGAAAACAATACACACTCTTGACAATATCTGTTTTCATACTTGTTCGCCTCGATTTGTCCGCATTCTGTCTGACTATCCTATTCCGCACTGGACTCTGGTCATTCTGTTCGCTCGGACAGTTCACTTCCTTTTTGACCAAACCTTTAGATTTGAATTAAATATCAGCAGTTCTCAAATATTGATGTGTATTGATGATTTTTTTGCGACCTAGACAACTTTTACTATGGTAAATTTTTAACAATCAGATTCTTTTATAACTTTTATAACTTTGTAAACAACCTGTATAGTTTGTCTGATGAAATACAATGCACAAAAAGGATTATGCATAATAATGAATAAGTACAATATAAAAATGCAATACATTTACCACTGGAATGGTCAGAAGGAATATAACAAAATACATTTCTATTTAAAACATTTATTATGAAAAAATATATTAAATAATGTACAAAACGATATCCTTCATATATTCATATTACCTACTGCTTGTAAAAGTTTTACATGTTTCAGATTTTATTAAGGATCCTGTAGAAACTTCTGAAATAGCTTATAAAATTGATGACACTGATGGGGTATACTTTATACCTGCATTCAGTGGCCTAGGGGTAAGTTTTTGTATTATAAAAAAAAACGTTTAGGCTTGATTAATTGTTATTTCAATTTTTATACCACTTTCTTGATACATTATACCACATTATTGCTGTTTCAAAGTATTTATGTAACTGTTTTGTAGCCACCAATTAATAATGAAAAAGCTGCAACAGGCTTCATAGGTATAAAACCGACAACTTCTAAAGAACACATGGTCAGGGCTGTGCTGGAAAGTATAGTTTTCAGAGTTGCCCTTGCTTACGACTTATTAAAAAAAGAGAGGTGTGAGAACTACAAAACAATCAGGTAATATTTTATTCAACATTAATTAAGCAAAAATACGATTTATATTCCTTTGCATTTGTCTATTTGCTCTTTAAATTAAGTTTGTGTTGAAATTATAAATTTATTTGCAGAGTTGATGGAGGTGTATCGAAAAATAATTTTATTTGCCAGATGTTAGCAGATCTGACTGAGCTCAGAGTCGAAAGACAAGCTTCTGAAATGTCCGTGTTAGGAGTTGCATTGCTTTCGGGGATGTCTTGTGGTAAGTTTCAACTTAATATTCCCATCTTTTACTTTTTAACATTCTCTTTCCCTCTTAAGGCATATGGAGAGATAAACAACAGTTAAAAGGATTTCATAAAACAGAACAAATATTTACACCCAGTACTTCAGAAGAATATAAGAACAAGTGTCAAAATGACTTACGCAGATGGATGGTGGCAGCAGACAGATTTAAATCATGGTATAAAGAAAATTAAATATAGATATTAAGTAAATATTGTTTTAATGAAAATCAGTATATTATGTTTATGCATTTTTATACTTTTTTAGCCTATGAATAAAAATTATCAAAATGATATTGTTGTTAAACTTTTCTGTTATTTTACTAACTTTTAGAGGTAACTGAATTTATTGAAAATATTAAATTATAATTAGTCAAATTTTTTATTGTAATTAGGTAAATTTAATTAATAAATAATTTCAAGGGAATTAAGAGCAATTTAAATCATGTTTAATAACACAGTTGCATTATATCTTTAGATCAGAATTCGCTATAAAATATTGTTGAAAATTTGAAACGGTCCTATTATTATTATATAACTTCATGAATTTGAATCGATCAAGTGTCAACAATTTTGTATATTAAACAAAAATTAATTAAGTTAAAAATTTTATCAATTTCTTTGACTGTGTAAAAATGCCACAGATAAAATACTCATTAATACAATTTTTTTAGTTTGAGATCACAAGAATATTCATTATAAATAATATACAGGGTCGGAAAGTGCCCATGGTTCATCGGCCGTTACGTGAGAGCGATAAAGTAAATCATAGAAATCCGTGCGATAGAGAAAGATGGCTAAAATGAAGGCGTCTAATAGTCACCACCCATTTCGCCCTTCCACAAATAAGAAGTGGATCTTATTTGTGGAAGGGCGAAATGGGCGGTCTCTGAAACAGAAAAGGTTAGCGGGCAGGGCGGGGGGATGTCGTTGGGGTGGTCACCCAGGGTCAAAAAGTTGGTGTCTAGGTCTTTTGTGTTTGTCGGTCACGTCGGGTACGTAGTCAACGGCTTGCCTGAGGAGGGGATTGTCATGTCTAGCGGCTACGTCAAATCGTTTCTCCGCGTTTTGTCTTATTGTCTGTGTAGCGTTTGTGTATTGTAAGTCTCGTAATATGTCAGTGTTTCTTACGTACCAGGGCGCGTCGGTGGCCGTGCGGAGGGCTATGTTTTCCACAGCCTGTAATGACTTTAAGTGGCTTTTTGCCGCGTGACCCCACGCCGTGGAGGCGTAGGTTAGCTGCGGTTGAAGTACCACCTTGATAAGCGTTCGCTTATTCCTTAAACTGAGGGTGTTTCCACCTTTGAGTAAGGGATAGAGCCTAGCCCTGGTGGTCTTCGCTCGCGCCACCGTCTCCACGATGTGCGGTTTCCACGTGAGACGCTGGTCCATCGTCACGCCCAGGTATCGTGTTTGTCGATTCCAGGAGAT